TACATGTTAATGTACTTCTCTACTGCCCCATTCTCCCTTCAGTTGTAAGGTGCTAACTGTAAGATTTACATGACACATACCTGTGGCGAGACTCCCAGCATCCTGAGGGACGGCGGTACGTTCAGATTATGCGGCATCTGCACGTGGCCGAAGTCCACGGTGAAGGCCTCGCACCACACCCCAAAGTGACCGAGCTGGTGGACGGTCAGGTCGCCCGGTAACGTCAGCACGATCGTTTTGCGATCGTAACGGCGCAATGGCTGCTCCTTCCCGTTCTCGTCGGGCACCCGTATACCCTGCGGCGAGGGGGACGGTCCGGCGCCTACCCAGAACTTGGCATCTGCAAAACGATCTTACATTCGTCGCCTGTCGACCTCCCGCGGTTTGTCCTACGCCAAGCTGGGTATACATCCGCAAGCAAACACCGAACGTTTGGAGATTTCGCGTTCGTGTTCTGAAGGCGTTTGTCCCCTTTATCTTTGATGTACCGCCTCATGACGGAGTCGAGCCGAACGCGAATCGAACGTTCTGCTCGCACTTGCTTCGGCGTGTACATCTGCCGAATGATAACAAACGTTCGCGTTCGTTCCGTGCTCGTTTCGTGGATGTATTACCCAGCTTACCCAGATAGCACAAGACACTCCAATTAACATTTTAAGAATATTCTTCAAGAATATTTGGAATATTCCATAGGTTATTCTTATATATTTATCTTATGTTCGTAGAACGTTTGACTGGCACTACTATAAATCTTTTTCGAATGTGAATAGAATAATCTATCGAATATAGCGTGTCGGTTATATGTATATGGTATGATTAGAGGTTTCACTACCTTTTGCATAAGATAAATGTATTAGGTTGGCAACTAAGTTCCCACCGTTTTTTTTCAATTTTAACATTCCGCATGTCATTAAATGTTTTTGGCATAATGTTTTAAATCATTCGAAAGAGGATGTTTTGTTCTCCCGGAATCTATGTTTTGTTTTTTTGTTCGAGTTAATTTATGTTAATTTTCAGACCATTAAAATGGAATGTCAAGTTGAAAAAAATGAGCATTTTCGACACCTCCTTCTTTTTATTTTTAATCAAGGTTCTAAGGCCGCAAGAAAAGGCTGCTCGCGACATTTGTGCTGTGTATAGAGAGGGTGCCATAGCTGAAAGAACCGCTCGTGATTGGTATGCCAAGTTCAAAAATGGAGATTTTGATCTCAAAGACGCACCTCGTTCTGGCCATCCAGTTGGATGGATAAATTTTTCGAGTCGAAACCGGGTGATTTCTACCAACGAGGTATTGCAAATCTTGTTGAACGTTGGGAAGTTGTAAACAACAAGGGAGAATACATTATTGATTAATTAGTTGTTAATTTTTATTAAAAAATAAACTTTTAAAAAATTTTAAAAAACGGCGGGAACTTAGTTGCCAACCCAATGTTACACAATAAACAATGTGTAATACATAAACTCGATAAATATTGTAAAATTATCCTCAACAAATATTCCAAAGACATTCTTGACGAATATTCGAAAAACGTTCTTCACATACAGCACGCATGTCTTAAAGATGCCTTAGACATACGTGTTGCTCGGGTTCTTTGTTATGAATATATGATTTCTAATTGTAACAATCTATATATATTTATAGAATATTCGATTGGAATATTCTGAAATTAAGAATATTTGCACTCCAAAAGAATATCCATAGAACTATGTGTGCTATCCATAGCATTCGCGAGTTTTAAAAACGCTCTTTAAAAGTCAATCAGTGGATTATCAACTGAAAACAGTGAACATTCACTGATTCACAGTTATAAATATAACAATGAATGATTATATTTGCAGTGATAACCGATTGACTTTTCGAGAGCAGGTTCGCGAGAAGCTAAAGAAATAAATTATCTGCCTCGTCGTGGCCAGATTTTTAAAATTTTACATAAAGCAGTGGTGTCTCGCAAATGTTGCGACAGTGATTTATCATTAATGTCAAGGTCTAAACCCGTATATTAATAATGGAAAAGGGAGAGACTTGCCAGGTGCTTCGCCGTCGTAACTGAAACTGGGTATCAAAAGGGTCTGAGCGTCCACGATGACAACTGGCTCCGAACTAACGCCATGTATGCCGCTTAATGACTTCAGTTTCTGCGGTTTCGGATAGTCGAAGCTTCGCGGAATCTTGACGTCGCCAAAGTTCACCTAGACAGAAACGATTCCTTCGGATTCGCCCATCGCGAGATGTATCGGTGTTCTATTGATTCAAGGGCTTGCCTAAGTTAATCCACGCTGATAGAAATAGACGTGAGGGGGATTTTGTTAAGGGAAAAGTTGAGATTCTTTCGACTGGCGAGATAAGAGATGATGCGCCTACGGCGAGAAGATTTAAAATTCCGAACGTTTTGGCGATCCTGTTAAGAATTGTACAATCTAATCCCGGACGTACACGGCGAAGCCCGCGGTACCTGCGTGGCGTTTCATCAAGCTACGTATACCGTATTCCATTCACTTGACACGCGGATTCAGGCGGCCGTTAAGAACGCGCGAGTGTGAAAGTTGTAGTTCGAGAAAATGATACCGGTTTCCCGTGTTGCGACGAGCAAGTACGCACCGCCGATATCGCGTGATCCAAGGTCACGAGCATATCCGTTACTTACTGAGAATTCGTCGCACCAAACCGAAAACCATTTGATGTTGTTCAAGGTCTTGCCGTCCGGTAAGGTCAGCGTGATGTCCTTCTTGCGGTACCGTTTAAGGACGTTCGTGCTGTTGGGCGAAAGGGGAGATTAATCGTGCCGATAATTAAGAACGAGCGCTCATGAATCGAAAAGGTTTCGCTAAACACAAGTATAGATTGTTATAATTGCATTTTAAATTACACCAAATTATACTTAATTAACAGAATTCACGGTGGAATATTATCGGCTACGCTTACGTTCCGTGCTCGTCTCGCACCCGGAATCCGTTGTTGCCCGGACTCTTGCTACTTCCAGCGTAAAAGAAGGCGGCTAAAAAGAACGGTGTTCTTATCGTTGGTGTCATCGGCAAAAACCCGTTTAATAAAACCGGTAAAAGAAGATTTGTATCGCGAGCTCCCGCCGCCAATGATGACGAACGGTTTGGTTTAAGCGGGCAGATAGCGAACACGTAACACGGTTTCAGATCGTGAAGCTCTAATAAGCATCTAGACATATCCCATTAATGGAGAACGGGAATCTCGAGCAGTCAGTCAGCTTATTAACACGTCACGAACGCGCGTGCCAGAGAGATTCGGGAAAGTTTTTCCGGCACTAAAGTCGATCGCGGTCAGCTTATCAGGCCGAGGGAAAGTTTTTCCCTAATTTTCTCGCATCCTTCCAGAGATACGACACAAAACATCCGCGCTACGTCGATGCACGATGCCAGAACTAGAACGTGGTCCAAGTTCCGAGAAATCCAGCTGTTCCATAAAAGCTGCAAGTTGATTGGCTACGCATTTCTCGAAACTAGAACCTGGACCAAGTTCCAGCATCATGGACGCAGGCCTTTACATCGGCCATAAAATTCAAGTCCACTTGTGCTTTCGTCCTTTGAAATTTCCAATCACTTCGAGATAATGTCAAAACCAAGAACGCATACTTCTAAGCAACAACTCTCGCATTGTCCCAATTATTTCGCAGACAAATAAGACTGACGCGCTACTTAAATTCAAGTGCGAAATGTTCGTACAGTATTAAAAAAGGTTTCTTCAACGACCGAATGTCAACAAGTCGAGATAATTGGCGTGCCGCATGGACCGATTACGGAGAAGGGCTCGCTACGCAGACGCGATACCAACCTGGACCTTCGCCATCGTAGGTGAAATCCTTGATGAACAGCGTCCTCGCGTCGACGGCATAAACCTCGCCGCTCACGCCGTGATGAAGTTCAGACAGCTTGCCGATCAGTTTCCCGTAGTACGCTCCGCTGCATATTTCTGCCAAAAGGAAATTCGTAATCATCAATTACCATTAAGTAACCGGTGTAAGCGGCGGCGGTAATTAAGCGTTAGTCGGAATAAGAAATCACACGAAACGGAATGCGAATCCCCCCGCGACTGCTTCTCGCATCCGAGCCCGTCGAATGTGTTCCGCCGTCCGTTTTGCGTTCTGCATTCCGGACGATTGTTCAAATAAGTGATAAACTGCGGGGGGGATTAGCATAATCGTGTGCCGCGGGATAAACAACAACTGCGGTACACTGTTGCAATTGAATAATCGGTTGACCACTTATCGAGTTACGTGACATTATATGCGCATCCGATTATCAGACAGGAGAAATCTACCGCGTCTACTCGCGCGTCTAGCTCGCCAAGGGGACGGGGAAAAAAGAAGAGCGTACTTGGTTTGCCGCGATATTGTTCGCGCGCAAAAAATTTCGCGAGTGTAACGTCGGGTATTTTTAGAAAAACTCGTTACACCGAGCCGAGACAGCGGGGAACGACAAAGCGCGGAAGTATGCTTTAATACGGCGAATTACTGGTCAATAGCCACGCAAACTTCGCCGTCCTTGACGTAATTCTCGGTTTGCGCGTCTAATTCGCGACCGTGGAAACGTATTCTTTCTTCTACTGGTGTAAAGGGACCCGTCCACATGTCGCATTATCACCCGGGAGATGAGATGGGGAAAACAACGTGGGGGAGGGAGAGGAAGAGGGAGAGGGAGAGAGAGAGAGGGAGAGAGAGGGAGAGAGAGAGAGAGAGAGAGAGAGAGAGAGATTGATTGATTGATTGATTTAATTTTATTACTGTACAATATGTTGTACAAAGTACACGTTTGACAAAATTTGTCGGCAAAGAATAAGCAGAAAGAAAAGAATAAAGTAGAACAAGAATACATTAAGTAGCAAAGAATTGAGATAAGAAACAGTACAATAGCGTTAGCAATAACAAGCAATTTCACACAGCAAGAACATAAAATGTGATACAGTAAA